TTGCAAGTTTGCAATGTTGCTGCAACGTTGCGCAACATTGCTGCAACGTTGCAGGGTAATTGCAGCAAGGTTGCAATGTCCATTCTCATTACAGCAATGTTGCAGAGCAATGTATTTGCGATAATGCAACGTTATTGTATACAGGATGAATATGAATAAATAAGCGGAACTGCTTTACTATGCAGGATTGTTACCATTACGTTACCGACGGTCTCGCTCTGTAATTTAAGATGCCTTATAGAAATATCATACTAAGAAATACTGAAAAATTGTTAGTAATTAAGTATTACCAGTAATTCAGTAATTTTTTGGCCACTGCTTAATTTCTGGTGAATACTAATAATAAAATCACTGTTAAATATTAGTAGTAATTAAATATTGAGAATTATATTGCGAAGGTGAAAAATGAGAAAATTATAATATTTAAAAAAGTATATTTATAATTCATAAATTCATTTTCAATTTGTAATGAACAGCGGAGGATAAAATTACGAGCCACGAGAAATAAATGTAATTAATTAGTGTTATTTAAAATTTAAAATTTCAATTTTCATTTCAAATTTTTATTTTTCCAATCCCCTTTTCCTTCGATTATCTGCTCTTGGTCCGTCTCGCAATAACGAGATTCAATTCTCTGATTGGAAAAAGGACCACTCGGCGTACGTCGACACGCGCGCAAAACGATTCTTCTGGTCGCTGGCTCGTTGCTCGACCTGCGTGTACGGCCGAGGCTTTTCATCGCGTTACGTTCTTTTCCAGGACGTAACAATATAATACATTAATCTTTTAAGAGTACTCGTATTCGGCTTCATTAAATTTATTGATCTACCTAATTATAGATATTTATGACACCCGAGTTATAATGCCATGATGAGTAGATTAACTCAATTGGCTGAACGAATTGAGGTTAAACTATTTGAACGTAGATAAGGCGTCATGTCGTAAAAAGGGTGTAAAATGGGAACGCGCGCTATAAATAAGAAATATAGCATTAAAAGCGTTCACATATAAATTACTGTAGTCATAACGTGAGAATTGTAAGATACGTAGACGTATCGTAAGAATTACGTTAAGTATTTTTGAACTGTAAGATTGCCATCTTTGAGAATTATAATCGATAATTATAATACTCGAATATATATATATATATATATATATATATAT